CTTCATCCCCGCCAGTGATGCGACCTATCACTGCAGTGTCGTCCGCGAACTTCAGGATGATGTTGTCTTTGTGGGAGGCGACACAGTCGTGGGTGAACAGGGTGTAGAGGATGGGACTGAGGACACATCCCTGTGGGGTGCCAGTGTTTGTAACAATGCTGGCTGAAGTCCTATTGCCAATCCTGACAGTCTGCGGCCTGCCAGTCAGAAAGCCCGGGAGCCAGTCACAGAGGGTGGGGTGCAGACCCAGTGTGGACAGTTTGTGGGGGACAACTGTGTTGAAGGCGGAGCTGTAGTCAATAAAGAGTATCCTGATGTAGGAGTCTCCATTTTCCAGGTGAAAAAGGGAATAGTGGAGGGCAGCCGCGATGGCATCTGAGGTGGCCCTGTTGGGCCAGTAGGCATACTGCAGGGGGTCCAGGGTGCCCGGTATACTACTCTGGATGTGGGCTAGCACCACTATCTCAAAACTCTTCATAATGATTGGGGTGAGTGTCACTGGCCTGTAGTCGTTCAGGCAGGTGACCAGGTTCTTCTTGGGAAGGGGGACGATGGCTGTGGTCTTAAAGCAGGTGGGTATGATGCTCTGGCTGAGGGAAAGATTGAAGATGGTGGTGAGAACATCAGCCAGCCTGCTGGCACATGCCCTGAGAGCCCTCCCAGGGATGTTGTGCAGTCCTGCAGCTTTTCGGGGGTTGATCTTCCTCAGGACTGGGTGTACCTGGCCTGGTGAGACAGTTAGTGGAGGGGAGGTGGGGGGCTGGGGAGACTAAATGAACCAGCAAGGAGTATATATAGGCAGGTGACCAGAGGATAAGGAGCAGCAGGTGGAAACAATGAATGGTGATTATGAACCAGGGTAAAGCTGGGGCAGGTGAGGTGACACAAGACAGGAAACTAACCAAAATAAAAGCACAAGATAGGGATCAAGTCCACAAACCATAGCATTAATGATGTACTGAAGTTAAGTGAGGTGATTAAAGTTTTCTGTGCAAGGTGCCGCTCAGCCGTTCTGCTTTTATTACCTCTGACCTTTTAACCCACAGTGGCATGCATCATAGTTAACAGCACATTGTGACAGGTCAGTGAAGACAAGTCAATCACTAGTAAGGAGGGTAATTCCTCATGTCTGAATCCTCTGCAGAATCCTCAGTCCTCTTTGCCAGAGAGGAAAAGAGATGAACAGTCAGTAAATCTTCTTTATGGGAACATCTGTTTGCCTGAAATATCTGATTCATGGCCAGGCTGGTGATGGGAAAACTGTCTTACAACTGCCAATCATGAGATGTGCACCAACAAGAAAACTGTGAGGAGAAAGCTTCAAAAGCTGAAGTGCAGGTTTTTGTTTTGGTCCAAGGGCAAGTCTGGTGTATATTTGTAATAGTGCTGTATAGTAAGTCCAAAAACTATAATCATGTCTTAGTGTTAGTGATAAATTTTTAAACGTTTGTGGATGAAAACTTAGATCAGATGTTCTCTATTGTTCAGCTGTGTTAAAGTTTTCACCTCCTGGCAGTTTAGCTGACAGCTTCCACTTAACAGCAAGGTACAGTATTTTATCTTCAAAAGTTACATACTGTCAAAAAAGTACTGCCACACAAAACCCAATGTATTTTTTAATGAATCCACCCATTTTATTAATGGCCTTTCATTTTTAACCATCCACTTGAGTGCCTGAAATTGGATTTTCATGCCACACCCAAGGATTAGGGAATATATATATGTAAAGCTATCATAAGCCATTTCTCTTGGCAGCAACAACAGCACCAGTTCACTCTGGCGTTTTCATGACCTGAGCTGTGCAGTTGCTCCACAATCAGTTGCCCTTGAAACGCCCTGCCTGAATGTGCCTGACCTCAATTAATTTAAACAACAGTGACATCTAGTGGTTGTACCAAAGGGTTGATGCATTATTTAGTTCAAGGAATCTTAAAAAGGGAAAGTACATGAATGTAGGGCTGTAACTAGTGATTACTTTGAATTGTCATTTATGTAAAGTAACAGCGTTGTTTAGTCTCGTAAAGAACTGCAGGGATAATCAACTTCATGTGGTGCTTTGTTGACTTATGGTCGCATCTCAGACCAATAGGAGAAAGTGAAAAAAGAGTTTTGATCTAGGTCCCACACTGCAAATTTTATTGTCTGAAATTATTTTCTTTGTAAAGTATTGACAACTTTTCCAAAGTTCTCTTGAGGAAAACATGAAAGATCAACGATAATTATCTAATGCTCAAATTTTAGTATCTTAGATTTGTCCAGGAGATAGTTCTGAATGGTTTTTGCCATTTCCAACTACAGTGAGGTCAGCATAACTAATTTGAATACTTTTTATGATCTTAAGACACATTATCCTGTTTACATAATGTTGTTTTTGTTAAACCTGTGTGATATTTAAACTACGGCAGAAGTGAAGTCATACAGTACAGCACATCTGATTAAATGCAAGAGTTTTTATGTCCTAGTTATTGGGTATGTAGATGGTTTTGTATCTCTCAAAGACGTTGATGTCATTCTCCAGCTGTTTCATTGCTGCTTCAAGGCGCTCTTTGCGGGCTTTCTTTGACAGGGTGTTGATAACAAGTGATAGGCCCTGATAATCATGGTGCAGCTCATCCCAGTTCTTCTTCAGGCCCTGGAGAGTGGAACCACAGAGAGAAACCCCATCAGTGTCACAGTATCATTAGTGAGATAACTTAACTATCACATTTGAAGGCTTTTATACAGGTACAGCCATCAGCTCAGAGGTACTGTCTCTGTTCAACAGCTGCAGGGCTGATTCTTTAGTGATGATGTACGAGAAATAGTTTCATGTGATCACCGCTGAATGAAAAGTTTTTTGTGTAATTATACAGTTCCTCTATCTCTGGAGCAGTGGTTCAGAAATTAAAAGTAACTCTGTTTTGTGTTAAATTTGTAGTGTTGTTTTTTGACACTCTCAGAGGTAATTTAACAATTAGCAACTATTGACATGGACATTTTATCCTAATTTTTGGGAGCAATTTTCTTAAAACTTTAACACATGGTATTGTGAAATTTGTTGTACTCCTCCAGCTGTTCCT